TTATGTATGTATGTATGTATGTATGTATGTATGTATGTATGTATGTATGTATGTATGTATGTATGTATGTATGTATGTATGTATGTGTGTATGTATGTATGTATGTATGTACGTATGTACGTATGTATGTATCTCTACATCTATTGTGATTGACTATGTCTGCCCCTTTCTTTGTATTTTTCTGAACACCAAAAAAAAACAACAACCAACAAACAAACAAACAAACAAACAACCAAAACAAAACAAACCACCAAAAAAAAATTAATTAAAAAACCCCACCACAAACATGTAAAGAACGATAGCTCAAAGGAAAAAAGATGAACGTGAAAACCAATAGGTCCATCCAACTTACCTGAACAAGAAGGGTACGAAGCCACCGACTACCGTAGCCAACAGCTGATTGGTCGTGGACACCTGGTAGGCGTCGCCGAATGCCATGACAACCACAAAGACAAACAAGAGGAACATCACGATACGCGCGAACTCCCACACAGCTGTGGTCACATTTCTGGAAAAGGAAACAGTCAAGTTGATGAGAACATCTTGGTTTGAAACACATGGAGTGAATATGCCGTTTTAGTTTTAGATGGAGAGTTCCATAAGTTTCATCGAAGGAGTACACTTTTAAAAAGCGTTTGTCTTTAAACAGGCGAATTTGGTTTTAACTGTTATTTAGCAGAACATTTACAATGGCAGTGACATAAAAATAATTATGAACAGAACGGAAAGGATAAAGGCCAAGTACATGTAGATGTATGTAAATATAACGCTACTTAAAGCAAGTGCAAACAATAACAAAAAAGAAGATACGACAACAGATATATCATCATCATCATCATCATCATCATCATCATCATCATCATCATTGTAGACTGCAAAAAGACAAAAAAACGTGGAGACTTGTAAGATTTGCAAACATTTTATACGTTCAACGTTTCGCCCTCTTAGGGTGTCGTCAGGATCATGTAAAAACAATATTAATGACTAGACTAGAACTGCACTATGGAAACCAAAGTCATCATCCTCATCATCATCATCATCATCATCATCATCATCATCATCATCATCATCATCATCCTCATCATCATCATCATCATCATCATCATCATGAAGGCCACGAAAAGGAGGATGTCAAACATATGTTTGAATGTCCAGGAACAATGGCAATTCGAATGGAGTTATTTGGACGAGTGGAGGTGCCTCTTGACAATGGAGCCGAAAAAGAGCCTCGCACTCGCTCGAAGATTTCTTCGTGGAGTCCACCAGACCCATTAAGGAAACAAACAACAATCGTCATCATCATCATCATCATCATCATCATCATCATCATCATCATCATCATCATCATGATCATCATCATCATTAAGAACAACAACCACGACAACAACAATAAACAACAACAGCGACAACAGCAACAACAATGGATAAACTATGAGCCAACCTATAGATAGGGCCCGGGCAGCCGAAGTAGTTCAGATCAATGGTTTCAAAGAAAAACTTCTCGGGAGTGTATGGCGTGTCATGCCGGTCCAGAAACACGAGCATGCTGGACGTCTGCCACTGGGGTTGGCGATCCTGGACATTGGGGGAGGTAAAAAAAAAAGAGTCTTACTTTTCACCCTATGTCACACTGGGGAACTAAATTTATACGGTACGCCCAAATTATTGTAGAAAGACACTTACC